ACTCCATGGTGAGTTCAGGTGTCTTCCATCACTCCATGGTGAGTTCACGTGTCTTCCATCACTCCATTGTGAGTTCAGGTGTCGTACATCACTCTATGGTGAGTTCAGGTGTCTTCCATCACTCCATGGTGAGTTCAGGTGTCGTACATCACTCCATGGTAAGTTCACGTGTCTTCCATCACTCCATGGTGAGTTCAGGTTTCTTCCATCACTCCATGGTGAGTTCACGTGTCTTCCATCACTCCATGGTGAGTTCACGTGTCTTCCATCACTCCATGGTGAGTTCAGGTGTCGTCCATCACTCCATGGTAAGTTCAGGTGTCTTCCATCACTCCATGGTGAGTTCAGGTGTCTTCCATCACTCCATGGTGAGTTCAGGTGTCTTCCATCATTCCATGGTGAGTTCACGTGTCTTCCATCACTCCATGGTGAGATCAGGTGTCTTTCTTCACTCCATGGTGAGTTCAGTTGTCTTCCATCTGGACGCAGGTATCTGTTGCCCAGATGTGGGATGAACAGACTGAATAACTCATTCACCCTGTAGTGATCAGGCTTCTCAACGAACAGTGATGACTTCTGTTATTTTAATGTTTTAATGTCTTGTGGTGTGGATGTTTTGTGTGACTGTGAAACAAATTGCCCCTTGAAGATAATAAAGACTCTTGGACTTCAACCAACCGTCCCAGATTTAAACATACTTCCAATATAAATGCTGAGAAAAAAGAACCGGCTCAGGTAATGCCTCAAACACTCATTTCCCCCTGGCACATACCGACCTCAAGAAGTTCTCACTTCATCCTGTGTCCAGTCTAAATGTAGGCTGATTGATCAGCCAACAGTTAATTGACTAAATGAGACTTTTTAATCAATCAGCTATCGCCCATGCCTGTTCATGCAGTAGCTATGACTCCATCTACTGCTGGCTTAAACATTCCGACAACTCAACAAATGGTCTTAACAACCACAATACAATTTTTGTTAATTTATTCTGGTTTCATTTGTTATAGAATTTAAAATATATATTAAAAGTGACCATTTTAGATGCACATTGATATCTGGAGATTATCCAAGGAGGCCATTTTGGTGTCGGGACTCCACTCCATCTCTGGGATTCAGTGCTGGTCTGAACCACATAGAAAGTCAGACACCCGTCACATAGATGACCAGTGGACTTCCAGTCCCACAGCAGACCACATGTCTGCAGTGTGCAGGTGAAGTCTCAGGTATTGACACACTGTAGAGAAACCTGTTTGAACAAGCTGCAGATGAAGCTAAATGAGGCAAACTGCCAAAACCACCGTCTGTCTCCATGACTACGTCTACGACTATTTGCTTCCTTTGATGCCAAGACAGTAAAGCCATCCTGTTGATGATATTAGCTCATTAAAGTCTAACGTTTCCAAATTTGCCTGCAGTGAATTGGATCCAACAGAAGAACGTTGCAGCGGAGATAAACAAACGTTTCTGCTCGGGAACGTTACAGTAAAACAGATTCAGACCTTCTTAGAGCTTTGAAGCTCAGACTCCACGGCAAAACAAACATTTAAGGTTTAAACTGGTCACAGAAAATCAGACTTTACAAGACTGGGCGGCTGTTTTTAGATCTTTAACAGTTTATACACAACCACAGGTTGGGTTTGATGATTTTTGGTGGTTTCACCACAAACTGTTCAACTTTGTCTGATGATGTCACTTTGGAGTGATCTCAACTTCAGAAAAAGTTTACGCTTTACAAACTTGACACTTTTCAACACATCAAAAAATCTGCATTTTGTCAGCTTGGATTATAACAAAAGAAGCTCCAGATTATTAGAAAATTTATGAAAATTGGATTTTCATGCAGTTGCCAGAATGATCAAGCCAGATCGTGGATACAGGAGGTTGAAATGAGTTTCCTCTGCAGGGTAGCTGGACTCTCCCTTAGAGACAGGGTGAGAAGTTCAGTTATCAGGAGAGACTCGGAGTAGAACCACTGCTCCTCCACATAGAGAGGAGTCAGCTGAGGTGGTGACTAGGAGGAGACCCCGGGGAAGACCCAGGATATGCTGGAGAGACTACGTATCTCATTTGGTCTAACACCTTTGAGTCCTCCCAGAAGATCTGGAAGAGGTTGTGGAAAGAGATGTCTGGACCTCCCTGCTCAAGATGCTGCCCCCGAGACCTGAGTCCAGAACAAGAGGAAGAGGATGGATGGATGGATGGATGGATGGATGGATGGATGGATGGATGGATGGATGGATGGATGGATGGATGGATGGATGGATGGATGTGTATTTTGAAGCTCTGTTGGATTTGTCAAACCTCCAGCTAGTCTTTCAAAAAGCCATTACTGGTAGTTTCTGTATTTTACAAACTAAACCAGACAGAGACATGTCTCACGGTTTGGACTTACTGTCCGCGGATCTTGGACACGTGGTCGGAGATGTAGGAGTGGATGTCGCAGTTCTTCCTGTAGACGTCGGCCAGCAGCTCGCCAAAGTATCTCGTGTCGAGCTTCGTGGGCTCGGGCGCCTCCTTCAGCTCCATGGTGGAGAACTTGCTCTGCATCATCTGCAGAGGCTTCTGTTGGATGACGTTCACAATCTCGACCTCCTCCACTTCCACTGATCCACCGTCATCCTCCTCCTCTTCTTCCTCTTCTTCTACCTGGAGACACACAACAAAGACGTCTGAGCACCGAGCTCTTACAGATGTACTTGGAGCAGTTCTGAGGAAATGCAACTAAACTTCTGTTCTGTAGGAGAAAACGTTTTACTTCCAATCTCTGTTCAGAACTGGAGGGTTTGGAGTTCCACGCTTCAAACTGGATTCAGTTTTTACTGTGACTGTAATCAACAGGTGGTACCTCAGTTAAAACTTCAGACCAGACGTCTTTATCGACAGCTGAGGCCTACACGTCTTGTTCTGTAGACCACTAGACGAACATGCAAGATGTGAGACCGTGGCTCTAAGAACCTTCAGTTAGGACGTGATATTGTAGCAATTTCATAAATGTTAACGTTGAACGCCACAGTTTCAGTTTCACAACCTGGAAACTCGCCGTAAAAGAAGTGCTTTTCTATTTTATACACGAGGTACGACGTCTGACTCATGGTGTCACTGAGGACTCCTGAAGGCAGCCTCCTGAAAAGGGTCGTGCTCTTCTATTAACTTAATGTGGCCCAAACTACAACGTGTCCCCCACACAAATTTTATATTGAAACGACTGGCTCGGCACCGTGATGTGTACTTTACGCTTCGAGTTACCACGGCGACGTCATTTGCAAACAAATGCCATTTTTCTCATTGAAAAAGCCTGAGGGAACTCTTCACAGCCTCTAACTGACACATGAGGTCACATGACCTGAAGTGGTCTCTGAACAAAACTCAGTACGTCCCCCAACAAACTCTTCCTACCACCACATCTTTTAAGATACACATGCATATTATATATCAAAACATAAGCAGGGGTGGAAGGGATGGCATGGTGGCACAGTTGGTAGAGCTGCTGCCTTTCAGCGAGAAGGTTGCCGGATCAAATCCTGACCGGGGGGGAGGCATTCTGGCTAGAGTTTGCATGTTCTCTCCATGCTGCATGGGTTTTCTCCAGGTAATCCGGTTTCCTCCCACAGACCAAAAACACGCATGTTAGACTGATTGGTAACATCTAAATTTTAAAATGGCTGCCACTAAACTGTCCCCATCAGAGTTTCTCCAGGAACTTTCTAGTTTCTTCTACCGTCACCAACAACAACCTGAACATGAACACCAACCCAACACTAAACTCAACAACAAACAGAGATTAACACATAACCTGAAAAAGTCCACGCATGTCCAGTCCCATAATTACCCAGCATGCATTGCAGCTCACCAACTCTCTTATGTTCAAGAGCATTAAATCAAAAAACAAACGTAATAATGAAATTGATGGATTTAAACCTAAATGTGATTTCTAACCTTCAGTTTTGAAACAAACTAGAAGTTCAGAGTGGATTTTTAAGTCGACAGGTTGTACCTGAATGCAGCACTGGATGTTAAGGATTATTGTGCTGCACTTTTCTTAGACCTGTCTAAAGATTCTGACACTGTGGATCAGAACATCTTGTGTCATAAACTCTCAGAAACTGGTTTCTCAGAACACACCATTGGTTGGTTCTCGAACTATCTCTCAGACCGGAGGCAATGTGTTCAACATAATGGTACTTCCTCCAGTTATTTAACAGTCAACAATGGTGTACCACAAGGCTCAGTCTTAGGACCCACCCTCTTTACAATCTACATAGGTAATGTAGGTCAGAGCATCCCTGATGCATCCATACATTTCTATGCTGATGACACAGTTGTTTATTGTCGAACTAAAACAGTTGAAAAGGCTTTCCAGTTTTGAAATCTGCATTTGACATCATCCAGTCTGATTTGTTCCGTCTCAAACTTGTCCTAAATGCCGACAAAACCAAAGGGACGCTTTTTTCAAATAGGAAGTTGGTTCCAGCAGTTCTTCCTCCGATTTCATCCTTAAATGGTGTCCCAATTGAGTTTGTTGATTCCTATAAATATTTGAGTATCTTGGTCGACTCACATCTCTCTTTTAAGCTCCATGTGGAAAACTTGGTAAAGAAACTGAAAGTTAAACTGGGTTTCTTTTTCAGAAACAGATCCTGTCTAACTCTGAACCCTGAGGAACGCCTTGTATCTGTGACTTTCATTCCCTCCATTGATTATGGTGACATTATTTACATGAACGCTCCTACAAGAACCCTGCAGATGTTGGATGCTGCAGATGTTGGATGCTGTCTATCATGGTGCACTAAGATTCATAACTGGCTGTAACTACCGTACCCACCACTGCACCCAGTATTCACTGGTTAACTGATCACCATTAACTTCACACAGACTCTCCCACTGGTACATGTTCATCTTTAAATCACTTCCTGGTCTGCTGCCTTCATACATCTCCTCCTACATGTCTCTGCGTGAGTGCAGCTACAGCGTGCGCTCTCAGGACATTATTACCCGCAGTGTTCCCTCAGTGAGGACTGAACTAGACAAAAGGACCTTCTCCTACTCCGCTCCTGTTTCCTGGAATATCTTGTAAAAAGATTTGAAGCTCTCGACGTTGACCTCTCTAAGTGTCTTTAAGAATCTGTTGGACTCCTGGCAGGGACCAATGCAGACATGTTCCTGTTGTTAGTTTTATACATTCTCCTTAGAATCTAGCTGTTTTTTGTTACTTTTCTTTTTTTAGCCATCCTATTTGTAAAAAAAAAAAAAAAAATTGTATGACTGTATGACTTTTTATACTTGTCTATTGTTGTCGCTGTTGTCCATTGTTCTCATCATTCTTTGTTGAAATCAGGTCTCTCTTGTAAAGGAGTCCTCGAGGCTCAATGGGATTAACCTGTCTAAATAAAGGTTGAATGAATCACAATAGTAAAATGGTCTTCTGTGAAGGAATGCGCTGAGGGTTCTCAGGGCCTCAGGGTTCTGCCATCTGCACATGCAGTAATGTGGAAGAACTGGGTTTCAGTCAGTGGTGAAGATGAATCTATAAAACATGTCTCCTCGTTCATCAGTTGTTTGGTCAAAGTTCACATTCCTGGATTTCCTTCAGTGGATCCACGTCCAACACACACCAGCCTCTAAGGTTCTCTGCTGAGTCTTGAGTAGTGCATTCTGGGTCACCCCTGAAAATGTTGCTGGTTGAGGTCTAAACTTTGTGTGGAGTATTTAAATTCTCCGTGACGGTAGAAAATAGTTTTTATCTTCTAAATGGAAGGAAAGCCAGAAAAAAGTTGTTAAAACCATCAAACAACTAGGTCCTGTAGGGTTTGCACCCCCTGGTTCCTCACGGTGACTCATGGATCTGTTCAAAAAGCCCCACCATGGCGTAACTGAAGGACTTCCCCAAACCACTGACAGAACGATATCGCTCACTTTACGAACTGGAAATAAACCAACAAAACAAACACTTGACCTCATTATGAAATGAGCTAACGGATAAAAGCTGCAGTTCTTACAGTGCTCCATCATGTTCACCTCAACAACAACTCTGTCATTATTAAAGTCCGGCATAATAAGCACGTTGGTCTCGAGTTTCCAAAACCAGATATTTAGTCGCACGCTGCAGGAACAGAAAACGCGGAGTCATACTTCTGCATACTTTGTGCTGCTTTAGCCATTCTTATACCAAAATGTTCAGCTTGTACAGGAAGTGGGAGCTACAACTTTTGATTGCTGTAACTTTTATGGTTTTCAAAATATTTATATTTGTTATTATTTTCCCATAGAATTACTTTGGGATGAATTCCTTCAGGGACATTGAACTCTTTAAAATCTGCTTCGGCTGCAGGCTCGGTTTTTGTCTTCTTATGCTACTTTGTACTTTGAGCTTTTAGCTACTGTTCTGCTACTGTTAATTTTCAACCAGCCTTTTTATACTTTTAGCTTCTAGCTAGCCTTTTGCTCTTTTTAGCTTGCCTTGTGGCTACTTTCAAATGTTGCCTCTCTTTACTTGTATCTTGTAGCCAGAGTTTTGTTACGTTTAGCTTTTAGCTCACCTTTTGTGCTCATGTGTACCGTATGCCTCTATATGCAGGTACAGTACAGGGAAACCTGTGGCCGTCAGCTTCTTTTTGTACCCAGAATATATGGGTACGAAATGACCAAAGCAGCAAAGGTACTGTACAATTTGATGGAACTAAATTAAACTTGGACGTTTGTCCACAGGTGTGTCTTTTACTGGTTCAGTTTCTGCTGCGTTTCAGTCAGAAACACTCACCTGAAGAAGAACAGAAGCTTCAGACAGTTTAACCCCAATGGGATTAACGTGTATAAATAAAGCTTGAATGAATAGCTTTAAATTCCTCTGAAAATCCAAATAAATGTAAAACAATGAGGACCGACGTTTCGGCTGTGCAGAACAGTACAGGTGCCTCATAAGCCGAAGTCTCTCAGCTGAAGTGAGCTCCTGCAGCTGTTCAGAGGGGCGGGTGAAGTGTCAGAAACATTACACGTTTCATTTTAACAAGCTGAGCTGTCAATCAAACGCTGTCTGACAGAAAATATAACTCGCCTGTAGTGTGAGTGCTGAACACACTCTTCGGTACTTTTTTAAATAAATGAAACAAAATGTTAAAATGTCATTTTCGCTCATTAAACCTCTGAAGTCGTAGCCTGAGAGTTTCTGCTCCGTGTGGGGAAACATGTTTCTGCTCAAACATCATTTCTAACCGTTTCCATCAGCAACATTTTTACTGATGTGTCACTGCACCAACTGTTAAGCATGGTGGCGGTGGCATCATGGATTTATTTGTTTTCCTGTATGTAATATTTTGAACATGTGCTGTCCAAAGAAAATCCACAGTAACATTTTGTTTATTGAAAACCATTAAAGTTTTAAATAGTAAAATCACAAACACTGGCAAAGGAAACGTTGAAATATTCATTCAAAGCCCAAATGAATGAGATCCACGCGTCATGATGAGTGGAGGGAACCTCCTGGCTGTGCCTGAACATAAATATAATTTGATTAGACTTTGAAAACTAAATCTACTTACTTTGATATATTTTATTTGCCCGTGAATAAAACATGTCTCATGTCACCTGAGGAAGATTTGGGCTGTGAGACTAAAAATAGTCCTTGTCTTTTTATTTTCAGTCCTTTCCAA